TAGTCCCTGCTTGTACTCCAAACAAAAGGCGGCTTTTGATGTGGAGCCAGACGGTGTACCTATATCAATAAAGACTATGCTATACAACCTTAAACTTGCCAAATGAACCCATGCATCTCAGATGATATGAATAAAGATTTTTTATATCTTTCTTCATGTATTTATTTATATATACACTACAGTAACCATTTAATATCAGATGGGCCGTATGCTTGTATAGCATATATTGTATCACTGGAATATAAAATAACTATCTACTTTAACATAAATTTTAGATTTTCTTCTTGTAATTCGAATAATATAATATCTGAATAGTCTCAGGACAATTCACACACCATGTAGACCCAAATTAATCTAGCTAAAGCTTGTCTTATGGGTACTAAATTACTGATACAAATACACAGATTTTTTTGTAAATATATTATACATAGAAAACACCTAGACTGATACAAAAAATGATACACTCATGAATACAAATGTTTGTGCTGTACGAGGAATCGAATGTTAAATGGCAACTGTCGTCAATATACATAAACAGCACTACATCACTTTATCATGTGATATTCGCGATACCACTCATACGTTCCCATTCCGAAGGACTAGAATGTGATGCCTCTTGTTGTATAATTTTTTGTCTTAAACTGAAACACACTGTACTTACAACGGCTGCTTTGCGGCTATAATAGATAGATAGATAGACAGAGGTATCGATGCAGAAAATTTAAAAGTCGACTTGTGTAAACGATAATTAAAGTAGGCATATTTATATTCAGTTGTACATTATATATTGCTTAGGTTAGGTTTATTAAGTTTACTCCATTTTACAATATATTTTATAATGACGATAATATATTTATTATGACATCAATAGCCCATTTGTTAGTATATTTTCTTTCTAAACTAATGTCAGTAAAGTTCTTATCTATTTAGTAACAAATACACTAACAAAATGTTCTATCATAGATAGGTAAAATTTTTTCATCAATGTTTCTATTTCACTTCTATCACGTGTTTGCCATACCAATTACATAAAGAAAATATTACAAAGCATTTATTAATAAAGCTGTCTTGACGTCACGAGTCCTGCAGACGATATAAGCAGATTAGATATAAATAAAACATTTATAATTATAGTTAAAAACGTGACTGGAACACGACAGGTACAAACTGTCAATTCAATAATGGCATCGTATTTAGATTTCTAGAAACACGTGGTTCATTCATGAATAATATTTAAATATAGAATATTTTTTCTTCCTTTGACGTTTTGTTCCCCCATTTAAGTAGACAGTGATTGTCTTTAAACGTAATCTAATAATAAAAAAACGAACAATTGCTGTATCTACTTTACTTAGACATAAACTCGGAATACTCTGTTCCGTAATCAGTATTTTTCATTTAATTATTCTTATATGTTTTTTACATATTATATACGTCTAGTATATCTGCTATTGTTTTCTCTAAATATCATATATTCAGAAATCAAGTAAAAATTTCACAGTTGCTATTTTACATTTTTGATAAATTCTATTTACATTGGACTAGTATCATACATTGTGTTCTTAAAAAAACCTAGTAATTCCTAATTTATATCTTAACTTCCGGCTAAAGATTTAGTTTGTACTTTCATAGAGTTTTATTTTTACGAGTCTCTTCTAATAAAAATAAAACACATGGACAGTAAACTGATTATCAAAGTTTTGCTTAAATAATAATTTCTTAGCTGTTGATACATTATCAAGAATTAATAGAATATTATATAATTTATGACAAATTACATTTTTATAGATTGTTAGGTGCTTATTAAAAAATAAAACGACGCAAAACAATACTTACCTATAGAATATTTATTATATAATACAGCTATAAATAATGACTGTCTTATCGCATATCAATCAATGGGAAAAGACACAGTTTCAAATTGAAACATTTCAAAAATAGTTACCCTTAAAATAGTACAACCGAAATAGAGCGTAGCTTTACTATTAGCGTACCTTTCTAATAATAGAGCTTGTTTACTCTCGTGTATGATCCGCTAGCTACCAAGTTACAATGTACTCGGAACTCTAGAAAAGCTATTAAACCTTGGAACTTTTAAATTTGGCTGGTTTATATGTAATTTGGGTTTAATAAATCATCAGTGCTCTATTTGTGTTGAAGAAGTTATTGTATTGTATATTGCGTATATAACTACAACATGTCGCATACCCTTCCTGGTTTCGCGCAGGTGTATTAACAAAGACCAAGTAGTATAATATTTTTTTATGCGTGTGTAATTTTTAAAAGCCAAGTTTTTCAGTTTCCCATAAGATTTTAAAACATTTTCTTTCTGACCATTATACAGTATGTAGTTTGTAATTTTTTTGGCTTAATTCGTTTTATTACAAACTGAAAGCGTTCCCTCATCCCTAGCAGTGAATCTCCTTGTCATTGTAGTGTTTCATTGTATCCAGAAGATAAGATATACGCGGCATATAAGGAAATCTCATTATTGGAAATTAGGATTAAGATACTAATAATCTGTGAGAAAATGTATAACTCACTTATGTTACTCAATTAAGCGGGTGGATAGAAAACCAACTTTGCCTTGGATATTGCGAGTGTTGTGTGTTGCGATCTTTCGTTGTATAATCTTGTGACGGTAGTTGAAAGAACTACTGGCACCTACATTACACAATAAATATATTATATTTTTAGAATAATTTATTAAAAAATATGATTATTTTAATTTCATGAAATTTATTTCACCTATTTTTACTACAAAATTTAAATTATTCTGGTTTCTCCAAATTCAAATCCTGCTTTTATAAATTTGTGGTTGTACCCTAATGTTACAATACCTTTACGTTTATACTATAAATATCTTATTCAAATAAGGGTATAAGCACTTTATCACAATCTACAGAAGCATAAAAGCAAGTTTAAGCAACCAACCGACTAGACAGGCTACGCACGGGATAATCGGGTCAGGTCGAGATAGGCCGTGACGTCACAACATTATGAACAACGTGATTATCGTCTGCATTTTTTTATCTACTGCCTGTAATGACACGAACGATTTGCGATTGCCTACTCGACTGGCATTGGATGTCGCATCAAGCGATAATGTATTTTGAAACCACAATGATTTTCAGAAACTCTGTTCGTTTCATTTTAACAGTAAATATAGGTTTTGAGAGCAAAGAGAGGAAATATTTTTGTAATAATTATATATACATAATAATAATAACTTAGGAAATAAGTTTAGTATTTTTAAGTATATCAGTCTACTGATAAATATGTAGTAAATATACTTACTAGAAAATCTTATATGAAGAAAAAAATATTTTAAAATAAAGTGACACAAATATTTCTTTTTTGCATGATTTGATTTGTGTAATTCACTTTTATATTAGGTACTTGTTTGTATTTTTGTTGCACGTTACTAATGAGAAATTTATATGCAATAATGCAAGTATTTTTGTACAATATTGTATTCTGGTGGTTTAGCACGTGGGTTCGATTCTTTGCAGGGTGCAAACATTTTTTTTTACGAGTATGATTGTTTGTACTGATCTGATTATATTATGTATTTAATAAAAAAGTATTTCTATCAGTTGTTTAGTTACTGTAACGAAAGCTCTGTTTTGCTTGGAACTAGATGGCACTGTTTGAATTGTTCAGGATTATCATTATAATTGTAATTTGAATATAGAAAACGATGTGAATACAAACAATAACAAACAATGTGAATAATTCGTAATGGTCGATTATTCGCGCCATCGATTCGGCTCGATTCAAAACACTGGCGCACGCATGCGCCGCCCGCGCCGCCGTAAACATGTCCAAGCTTACCCATAACTCTGCAATTTCCTTACACTTTCCCTTCCACCTTTCTTCTTAACAGAAACTATACTACAGCTTAAGGAAATAAATACACATTGAATTCTTAAGAGAATGTATGTTTATAGATACATATATAACATTGCGTATATAGTAATGAAATTAAAAGTATATTTGTTATCTTTAATTGTTTTCCATACTAATACTATAAATTTGAAAATGAAATTGTATATTAAGATTGATTGTATCGCAAGAACGAACATAGCTATCTTTTATCACAAAAAAACAGACTAAAACGTTGGTAACAGCTAGTACTGTGTCTGTAACCATATTTGTTATAAATATTTCTTAGTATTAATCTAAGCGATGATATCTCCTATTGATGATTTGCAGCACACCATAATACGTTTACTTATTAAACTTTTCTTTTGCAGATTGGTCCAGGCCATACGGATAACATCCACTGAGACCTTCACAAAAGTCATCGCAACTGAAGAAGAAAACAAGAAACCAAAAGCCACAAAATCCTCAAACCAAAGCCTCCAGTCATATCTTTTGTTTCAAAAATCTAAATATAAGCACTATTTTTTTAACCTTTTAACGATAATAAAGCTAAAACTAAATAGTATACGCTACTCCCAAACAGTACAAATTAATTTAAGTCTGAGTGATCGGTATTTACAATAAAAAGAAGCCTTCAAGAAAGCAAAAGATTAAGAAAACTATCAACGACCAGTATTTAAACGTTCCAAAATAATAGATATCGTTAAACGAGTGCACAATATATTTTATCGATCGTTATATAAATTGATAACGAGACAATTCCTCGAGAGTTTTGTAAAAAGTCAGCCAAAGATTTTTATAAACCTGTAATTTGTGAGACTTGTGTAAGTTTAACTGCCTGTTATAAAGGATTTTTTACATTATTTATTTCTTAGTGAGTAAACGAAGATATTGTGATTAGTGTAGTGTAAACCAGTGTGCCGTATAATCATATATTAAGTGCTATAATAGAGTATCGAGGACTATAACAAATTATCGGAGCCAGATCATAGTACAAATTAATAAGTTCCCGTGCAGTTCCGAGTGTTCAATACAACAATAGACTTAGTAGAGCTTATTTTTGTATAAGGATAATAAGAGATGACCGCGATGAGGCATCGTCGCGGAAAAACGTCATGAGCGAAGCGCTCAGCAGTGAGGCGGGCGCGGATAGCGCTCACCTGCCGCCGTTTTCTACATTCGGCGAGATGGCAGACAACGAACAACGCATACTCACGGCCGATGGCCGCCTCCTCGATCCCGGCTGGGAGTACTACGAGCGGACAGGCGACACTGTCTCCGTTATAGCGAGCCAACCACAATATAGACCTTGGGAGTCGATGCCACTAACCGTCAACTCAAAAGACGCTATCCTAAGAGCTGGATTCTCCGCGTCACTCGACTACCAACCGGTCACATTGCAGCCGATACCCAATAAGCTGCCGTCCTTCCAAAGCCAATTCCAAACATTTCCAGAAACAACTGTGATCCCTGAAACGGGTTTGCCAAGCGTAACCCCAGTACCAGTTACAGCCAGTCCGACGCCCAGCGCGAGTCCTAGTCAGTTAACCCAACTCACGCAACTAACGACGCCGGCGTCACCAGCCCATCTGACAACGTTGGCTCAAGTAACGCCTTTGTCAACAACACTCACAACTTTATCACCTGTCAACGCAACCACATTCCATACTCTAACCGCTGTAAATGCTAGAACTTATCCAATCGTTCCCGCGCCACTACAAGCGAGGGAACTAGCACCAGCCGGTCAGACGTACATCGATGATAGACATATACAACTCTACCAGCCAAATATCGCTACAATAAACGCTTTTCCAACGCAAAATGGTATTTTACACCAAAACGGTACAATTATTCATCAAAACGGAAGTTTATTACAAAATATACAAAGTCCAACCGTTGTGCACGTGTTGAAAAATGAACCGTTTGATGTTAAAGCTCTACAAGATAAGTATACTCCTAATGGGCTACATCATAGCAATTTCCAGAATCCAATGTTAATAGATAATGGATATGAAAAGAAAAATGGTTTCGGCAGTGGGTCTTCGCCGACGAGATCCGACTTTAGGAAGAAAGAACGACGGAAAATGCGTGCAAATAGTTCTGAGTCAGATGGGTCAAATATGGAAGTAGGTTCGGAAAGTAGTGGGCAAGTAGCGGCGATATCATCAACTGCAGGGTTCAAATCGCCAATGCACGGAGCACCACCCATGACAACCGGCCCCATGGAACTCGACGACATATCCAGTGAAAAACAGGTGAGATTTCTCTATTTTATCTAAACAATTGTGGTAAAATATTTAGATATCATTGAACAGTAAACAAAATTTAAGCCAGTATCGTATTTAAAATTTTCAAATTGAATTATTGTCGAAATGTTCAGTAACATCTAAATATTTTGCATTTTACTAATTCGACTCGACTTCTAGCGATGAATCATGTAAATGATTTTCTTGTCCACCGATGTGTCCATTTAAATGTTGTACTATAACTTCGTAAATGAAATTAACTTTGAAATAAAATAGGATATAATGGAGCACGTTCAAAAGCAACACAATAAAATCAGACACAACAACTAATCTCCCTTTCTGCGAATTGGCGAATTGCGTAAACAAGACTCCGGGGAATCGTGAAAAGCTGACTGAATATTCGACGAAAGATATGAGAATTCTCAGAATTTCATCCGACTACAGCCCGTAGAAAGTGGATATACGAGAAATCCCGAAAAAGAGAAACTTTCGCCGTAATTCCACCTTTTATTATTCGGGGAGCAGTTTTTATTCCCGCTCCCGAGTTTCGAAATGGCCGAACTCTCTGTCTTCGCGGCTATAAATTTAATAGTTAGCCGATTCTCTTGCTCCACCAATAAATTAACTTCCTCTCTCGTTTAAAACACAAATTAAAGTCGGGCGATTTACGCGTGTCCTGCTTAGAAAATTTTATGACTTTCATTCAAATTTAACAGCGAGTGCAATTAGGCGGCAGTTTTGAAGTCTTCAACATTATCGTTTATTCCCATTTAATTAATGAACATATTCTTCAGTATTAAAATATAATTTACCGGTGTTATTTTTTACTTTTCTATTCCAGTTATTGTATTGAAACTAAATTATAAAAACAAGGTTAAACTTTAATACTCTATTTTGCGCAGCCAAGTTGTTTATTTGTGGCGTTTATCATGCTATTCTTTATAATTGCAAGCGAGTTGTGATAAAAAAGCCATCTAAGACCGGGAAAGGTCCATACTGGGACAGCATTCTTGCACAATAAATGTCAACGTTTCCTAGTCTAATAACACGAACGAACACCTTTGCGGGCAGCTGGCAAGCTGTTCGCGATGTGTCTATGCGCGCCTCTCTAATTATCGTAGTTCAACGTTATTTTTACTATTGTTTAGATACAGACCTTTAGCAGCTAGTTATAAAAGAGCAAAAGTTAAGGCCACAAGTCAAGGACATGTCAAGTAAAGTAATATTCAAATATGTTATATGTTATGTAACTGTAATTTCACATCTCAATAACTTTTAAGTTTTTAACAGTACAGCGTCGTTTACAATCACAATTAAAGTTTATGTTTTTGGTGTCATGCAGTTACATATATAAAATATTTCATAGATTATTGATAAAAGATCCCTAAATATGAGTAATAATGAATATGTATTAGAGAAACTTAAAACGATCTGTCATTGTTATAATTGTAGTAAGTACTCAGATTACTAAACAAACTTTCTATACCCAAGTGAAATTAAATAGAAAATAATCAAGATAAAAAAGTTATTTACTCCTGAAATCATAGGGTTCATAATCAATCCTCATTAATTGCCAATCGATTTAATTAAATAATAATTTTCTTCCATTATATTTTTAACAAAAACCGTTATAGTTTTATAAACTGTATTATTATTCTCCAATTCAGTCAATTGACTGATCTTATAACTCATCAAAGATAATTAAATAATAAATAGATGATTATTTATAGCTTTTAATGCATATTACTGCACGGAAAATGGAGTAATTATTTCAATATGGAATAATTGTTGCGACCCTGAATATATAATAACTGTTTAATAAGTTTTATAGTTATAAGTATCTTTTATATAAATTATAAAAGGATTTAATGTGAAAAGCAAGTTGAACTTTGCTTTTGTTTTGTACACATACATATAGAAGCATGACATCTTAGTCCTCTGGAATTAAAATATGAGTGATATTGATATACACGTGATAACATGATGTCCATAGTGAGGAAACATACACAGACATAAGAAAACCTATCATCAATAATCATATATATCAATTGCAAAAAGAACCATCTTAATCCATTAACTACACAGAGAAAATCATTGTAAAATAAAATTATTCCCAGAGTACTTTTTAACTATCATAGAAATACTAGCTGCCCCGAGCAACTTCGTCTGCATCACATTTCTTATTATAATTCGCCTAATTTACATTATATTTCTTTAACTCATAGCCTATATATTATTCTGATATATAACCTATATTACTGTAAAGTTTCATTAAAATCCGTTCAGCATTTTTTGCGTGAAAAAGTAACAAACATCCATCCATACTCAATAACTTTTGCGTTTATAATATTAGTAGGATACTTGGATTTCTATCAGGGTGGTGGCGTGTATTTTATTTGGTAATTACTTTGGTAAAACGGTAATTATTCATTCCTTTTACATCTTACGTAATAGTCATTGAAGTTTAAGCTATGCTGATTGTCATTGATTAATGGTCATAATAATACTAGCTACTCATACGAATGAGTCAGCGTTTGGGAAAACCATGGAAATTCCTAGAACAATGTAACAAGGGAAAGTGGATTAAACATAGTTCAGTAGACAAATATTTTAGCCGCACTAAAATGTTAGACATCCACATTTTGGTGGTTGTAAAAAGTTATTACGAGCTTTGCCTCTGTTTACCACTTTTAAATGTTTACCTAAATGTATGATTTCATTTATTTAAGCTGCTAATGGTCCATATTATAAATACCTTATAGGCTAAAATACATATGAATTAATAACATAAATATAAATTGTCTCTGTGGCCACGGCACTGACAACGGCAATCTGCTCCACCCCTATCGCCCAGTCTTCATCACGAGTTTTTTTTTACATTTTATTGTACATTTTTTTTACATAATTATTATCGATTTATTGACGGCCTCGGTGGTCAAGCGGTTTAGCACACCACCTTACTTCGTCGCGGGTTCGATTCCTTGCACGGCATAAACATTTGTATTCATGAGTATGAATGTTTGTATCGGTCTGGGTATTCCCTGTGCATATATAATGTATATGTATTTACGAAAAAAAATATTCATGTCTTTGTATCAGTTATCTACCACCCATAACAAAAGCTTTAGCTAGCTTAACTTGCGTCTAGAAGACGTTGTATGAATTGTCCTGAGATTAGTATTATTGTTCTTTATATATTTTCCTTTGATGGGGTAATAGATTTGTCATTACGGGTGAAAATCACCAAACAATGACAACTATAAAAGAAATTATGTTGATGAAGATTTTTATTATTATTATCTACTTATCAGGAAATGCGACGATAATACTATTTTTAGTCTAATTGATTCATTCCTTCATTATGTTTATTGAATAAACTGTACAGATGCTAGGAATACACCTTTACAGAAAGCTAGGTTATCAAGTGTTCTATTTAATAACTGTTATAATGTCATTCTCATTAGTTGTACAGTCAGTAGTAGTAATTAACGACATCTGCGAGGCTTAGAGATTTTTTTTTATACTACAAGGGTACCAAACAAGCTTACGGCCAATCTGATGACAAACGGTTACAGTAGCCTATGTATGCCTGAAACACCAGTGGTGTCATGTGCGCATTGCCGGCCTTTAAGAAACATTAATATACTCTCTTTTGAAAAGTACATAATATATATAGAAAACACCTACCACCAATACAAACAATCATACTCATAATTACAACTGTTTGTTTCGTGCGAGGTATCAAACCCGCGACCATCGGTAGCAAAACAATTTTAGCAAACCGCTTTATCAACGAGGCCGTCAATAATGATTTAATAACAATTGATAATATTGTATTGTCAGGAGGTTCTTTACTGTGCAGTCTTAACTACGGATATCTTGAGTCGTCCCATTTACCATAATTAAATTAAAATTAAATAAAAAAATATAAATATTTTTTTATATTAAAAAACAATACATTTAAAAAAACAAAGAAAAGTCTAATAAATAGTTTTTCACGCCACGGCGTAAACACAGGAATCTAAAGCGGTGCGAACTGTGAAATTAAAAAAAATAACAGTGTAAGAAATCGAACAAAAACTAATGTAATATACAATAAATAACTACATAATATAACTATTTTAATATTATACTTTTAGTTAAACGTTTCATTTACAAACACGATACGTAGTAGTTAAAAGACGCAGATTAAATATCTAACATTAACACCAGCTCATGTTAAACGTATACGATGTTCATTAGAGTCAATAGGCTAGCGTACACAAAAAAAAACAAGTCCAACGTTAAAAAAATGTTTCTATCCTTTTTTTCTAAACAAAAAAGGTTTATGTTCTGTTTTTAAATTTTCGTCAGCTGTTGGCCGGGAATACAATCGGTTGGTTCCGATTGCAACCGAAGATAACCGAGCCATGCACGAATGAAATTATACCAGAAAATGGCGGTACAACACTTCTCTTGCTGCGTCACAGCTGTTACACTTTTTGCAGTCGGAAACTAATTCGAATTCCATGAAATAATGCATAAATATAAAAGCTTGCATGTAATAAACCCTTTTTTACGCGGCACTGGGTACGTTAGGATTCGTGTTATGTATACGATATAACAGTTCAATTATGTATTTAAATAGAATTGTAATAAAAAAGTTGTATTGAAATATATACATACATAATTGTATCCTTTTTAATTAGAATTCAATATTATTTACATTCATTATAATATAGAGAATGTGCTGGATCTATTCGTAGATACTAACACATATTTCAATTTCTAATCTATTCATATAAATAAAATTGAAGTGTCTGTTTGTAATTTCAAATTTACACTTTACTCTAAACGCATATTTATGAAACTATATGACGTTATGTATAAAAAGAATAAACAAATAGACTGTATGTTTGTTCTTTTTATACATATTAACAGAATATAATTAGAGCCTAAATCACTTTATAATAAACCTTTCAAACAGTAACAAATCTTAAAACATAAACAAAGTCAAGTATCTTTTGAGTTATCATTAGAAACATACAAATAATATTGTTGCTTTCTTGTGTAAGATATTAGTATAAATTAATACATATGTACAATATATATACTTATTATTAATATTATAAATGCGAAATTTGTGAGTATGGATGGTATGGATATTTGTTACTTTTTCGAGCAAAATTTACTTAACGAATTTTGATGAAACTTTACAGTAATATGGTTTATACATCAGTATAATATATGGGCTATAAATTTCACGTGCGTGAAACCAAGAGCAGCTAGTATTAATATATAAATGTTCAAGGACATCGTGAGCATAAAGTTTAAATTAAAGAGTCGAAAGTAGAATGCATCCAGCGCTACAATACAATGCGCCCGCGCACGACCGAGACGGGCCATTATAATGAGTGCAGAAAACAAATTGTTGTCTGGATAATAATTGGAGGTCTTTATTGTGAACAACATACTTAAAATATTATAAAAGTCTTTTTATTTCCATATTCATCATTAGTTTTTACAAATAAAAATATAATATTGTTTAGTATATTTCTCTAATGATCTACTTGTTAATACTACAATTATAATTATGCTATTTGTGGATATGGACCCTTCTTTGGGTGAAGGCCTCCTTCATCTATTATATATTTTCTGATTTGTATCAAAGTTAGAACAATATCACACATTGTTAGTATTTTCGTTACAATGTAACATTGTAATCTCATATGCTTTGTTAATGTTTAGATAACTAATGTAACCATATAATTTAAATAATCGTGAGATTATGATGTTGTAAAACGTTAAGTTAAAATGTAAAAAAGAATGATTTACTTTGACTTACTAAATTGTATTATAGTAAAAGTATTTTCATTTCCAAAAAAAATAACAAAAAAATTTTTGTTTCTCTATTTTTGACCATAGTTAAGCAGTCATTTCCTATATAGTCCACTATATCATCAGCCCTCCATAAAATATCCTTACTACTAATACTACTAAAGTTTCTTTCGAGATCAGACATCTACCGATGTAGATTGTGCGATTTAGTCTGCGTGAGTACACCTATTATCTCAATTTCAGCTTCAAAGCAGCTTACTTTGTAAGCTGTACTTTGATTTAAAGATTTTTTTCGGACTACTCCGATGCTGCTGGCCTCAGCTGGCCTTTACAGCTTCACAGGACAATAGGAGGTGAGTGCGGATGGCACTCGAAACCCGCGGAAGGTCTTATGGAGCGGCTGAAGGCCCAATCCCTCCTGACGGCTACGACTTTAGGCTGAGGAGTCTGAACCTCAACTCAGGTCGTCGTAATTTCGATCCCCGTATGAATTGAATGATATATGACAGTAAATTAAATAATAGGGATAAATGCCATACCACGACTGTTACGTGATAACGTGATATTCATGTGTCTAGGCGACGGTAACTATTTACCATCAGGTGACCGGCAGCTTGTTTGTAATTTCATATCGATTACGTATATTTCATCATTCGTTCTATTTTCCGAAACAAACAAAGCTCGTATCTTTATCTTATCAGCAGTGCTTTCATAAAGTCTGTTTTATGTATCCTTCGTTGAATATTTAATGTAACTAAATAAAGTTTCATCATAACCATATTTTCAATCGATTACTAAAAGAGGTCGGAATTCAACGATATTTTTTTTGGCTGTTAAGCTATTTTGTCTCCATAATGAGTTTACATGATTCTTTTTGTAGTAGATAGCTCTCATGTATCGGTCACATTCTGCTATGATTCATAGTTGGGGTTTTTCGAAGTCGAGTCGAATTTTATTTCCTACTAATGTGTTGTTGTATATTTATAACATTAATAGAAATATAATTTTACGCAATATCTTTGTCGATTTATCCTACCTTTCAAACCTAAAAAATGTAACATAAAGTAAATAATAAAACTAGACGAGTTAAATAGGATTTTACAGTATTATCTTATATGTAACTCGAAAATCTTTTAATGCACTTTCTTTTTGGAAAATTAATAGGTAGTAATGTGTTTAACAAAATAACTTTAATCCAGTTCTTCGCGTCACAGACTAAAAAGAAGAGGAAGAGGTGCGGAGAGTGCATAGGCTGCCAACGCAAGGATAACTGCGGCGACTGTGCACCCTGTCGCAACGACAAGTCGCATCAGATATGTAAACAGCGGAGATGCGAGAAATTGACCGAGAAAAAGGTAAGTTTTTTATTTTTTATATTAGACATCTAAATATAAGTGATTGATTCTTTTTTAACAGTGTTCCATTTTTAAATTTGTATTTTGTACCCTCAACAATAAATACGTGTACGTTACTTTTTAACAGTGTTCCACTTTTAATTTTTTTTATCAATATAATATATATGTGTTCGTTACTTTTTAAAAGTATTCCATTTATTAAATTTCATCATATTTCCAAAAAAAAAAAATTTGACCCAAAACGATTTTTTACAAAACACAGTAAAGTCTGTTTTTGCATTAAATAGTACTGTACTATTGTTAGATTATTTCTGAAGAAATTGTCCTTATGGGCAAGCAATGTTACCACAATACAATTTATGTATGAAAATATACAAACACTTTGTTTGATTTTATAAAAAAAAATGTATATAATTCATTAAAAAATAGTTGAATTAAGAAACCCGGTGTGGAAATCGCAGAACAATTTAATGTTAAATATAAAATTCAAAATTCCAGTATATACGCACCTAATTTTCAGCATAATATCAAATACCAAGCTAGATTCAGAAATATGTTGTCATATAAATATTCCTGGACTACAATAAATATTATCTGAATCTAGATCTATTTTGCCTGTTAAAGATTTATTATAAGTAACACAACAGTACTTTTTTTGTTGGTATATTCTTTATTTGTTTTCTTTGTTTCTTATAACTTTTATTCGACGGCTGCGTAAATTAGATAAAAAATATAACATATTTTAATACAGAATATGGTTGATCTATGTACCAAATGTTATTCAATTGTGACAAGCGTGATTTAAGCGTAATAGTTATACAATATTTTATATCTTCTACAAACTGTTAGTATAATAAATGTGGGAATGGACTATTGTTTCTATTTTCGTAATCTGTAGAGAGAATTATCAATAGAGTTGAATTCAATTAGGCATTAAACACTTCTCTACAATTTTTTTTAAATAGCTTTTTTGTCACTATATTTTAATTGTCTATTGTTTTTTCCAAATCTATTAATTTGTGTAATAACTAGCTGACCCCGTAAACATTGTTATGCTATGTAAATTAAAATCGCTATTAAAAAATAGCGGTTGATGGTGGAAGGGTGATTTGGCGTTGTATGTATTTTTGAATGCTACATTATAAAAAAAATATTAAACAAAAAATTGATAGTAGCTGATTCTCAGACGTACTGAATATGCATATAAAATTTCATAAAAATCGGTCGTGCGGAGGAGTATGGTAACTAACATTGTGACACGAGAATTTTATATATATAATGATAATGTCCACGCGGGAATAGCAAATCACCTTTCAGTTTCATCCAATTCGAATAATATTTTATACATACGGTAAAAATCGGGCGCGTTGCTGAAAAAATCTCGAATCGATTTGTGAATGACGCAAATACCACGTTTTGCTTTATGTATGTGTCATTTGCATTAATTTATTCTATCGCATACATTACCGCCATTTTGAAACTCTACAAAACGTCGTGATCGTCTAAGTTTACCTACATTGTTGGAAACTTACTCACTCAATAACTATTTAGTTAACTTTCACTGCTGGGCGTAAGACTCTTAGGCATAGAACGACGGATAACAAAAATATATATGTTATCAGTACAAGATAAAAAAATAATCATATTAAAATTGAGAAAACTATCAATTCGACTATATGTTTGTTTCGTCTATGAATAGTAATTCAATTACTTATACAATATCTTCGCCACTTTTTTTAACCGAGTTTCTAAATCTTTGTAACTTATGTACAACTACAGAATAACATAATATTAATAATTATTTGATTTTTCGATTATTTAATAAATGTTTTTGTCAATTTTATCGTTCTTAATCTTTGTATTATCTAATATACAGAATAACATACCTATTATTAATATTTCTTAGTTTTCTCCGCAAAACACTGACAAGATTTGCAGTATACAATTTCGTATATAAAAAGGGCTACACCAATTTATCATGAATTAAACGTTTTTAATACATGTTTCATGTCACTTTGTAGCTAAATATAAAATGTGTCTGCTGTTATTTGTTAGTTAAATTCAAATAAAAACAAAACACAGATTTATATCTATAAATACGCAAATTCCTAATACCAAAACAAAAAGAAGTCTAGTGATTACCATAAAATAGTAATAAAAAGCATAACAGCAAAATTAATAGCCCGTGAAAAGATCGCTCGTACCTATTCTTCTCTGTCTTGCTTTGTTTATTATCTGTATAGGGAAAGACAAGGACAGGTATAATAGTATGAAAGTGAAAATGAGAAGAAAATATGAGGTAATGGTTTTTGAATACCTACAAACAAAGTCATTTTTGATTTATATTATCCATTCTTAATAAGTCAGTATTCATGAATATTTACTGATTATCAAAAATACATGTTAAACTCCGAAAGCTTTTTGGAAGTAATTGACTGAAATACCTTATTTTTAATATATATACTTTATTGTATATATGTATATAGTAGAGTCAGTGTCGAATTGTTGTATGTCATATTTGTCAAAAAATCGTATATAACACTAACATTTTATATATATAACAATACACTACAGTTTTTATGCGCGTGCAAGTTTTCTCTTTAGCACTTTTTGATAGACTACAACAAACTTCTGCCGCCACTTCATCCTCTTATATTATCGAATACAAACATCATATACTCGTATTACATTGCAAAGGCTGTAGTTCCTCATGCGTTGCCAGTAGTGAGAACTAAGTGTCATGTGCCCGTACCCTATAATTTCACTGCCATATCTCACCCTTCATATCAAAACAGCTTGCACAGTAAGCTGCTTGGCGGCTAATAATCTTTACATACGGGGCAATGTTACAACTTTAAATTGTAACATAACAAGAGAAGCAAAGTGGTTATTAAGTAATGATAACTCCTGAACATGAACGCTGAAACGGAGCGCACCCGATTCCCCTAAGCTAAGCTTTACGGTGCTTGTTTTAAAACTAATTTGCCCAAGTTACTTCGCAGCCGGTAACTTGTAATCGTAAATTAAGTCGAGTACCTACCACTTCGCTGTCTACTAACTTTTTCTTATGGAAATATCGCACAATTCTTTCGAACCTACCTGTATTTTCGGTTACGTAACTCATGTCGTATAAGCCGGTCGCAGTGCGTGAATAAATTCGGAACGCGTAATATCGCGATAACTGAAATAACCAGTCAAGATAAGAACCCTGTCCATTCTTCTATATTCATTCTCCTTTAAATTTCGATAGCCTATTCAAAATTGGTCTTATTAAGTTTATTTTATTCAAGATTATTTATATTCTGACAATGGTTCGGTAAAATAGCTAAGAATAACAGATAAATTAGTGGGGAAGAATGATTCCTCAACAGTGACCCCATATATGCAATACAGCATCCACGAGATGGAGTGACGACCTTAAAAATGATGTATAATAATATATCGAGGGATATCTTGTGTTTTTATGGGGATGATAGTTATATGTTCCGCAGTATACGACACAGATTTTCGTAGATGAAATCAAGCTTCATACATAGTGTTGCTGACGTACTGGCTATATAGTTTTATATTTCATACTTATATTGTATTTACTATTAAAAAAAATATTATATATTTTCGTATACCGAACGATTTAGAAGATATTGTGACAGACAACAACACATAGTTATTTATTAGACTTATGTGAAATAAAAATTGAAAATGTCACTTTTATTACTATATTAAAACGTTAACTAAAAATAATAATACGATAAATAAGTTTTACGAAAACTTCGCGAATGGATGAGTATGTAATTTCTCGCACTTATAGTATATATAGAGAAGGAATATAGAATGCTGTTATTACACACGCATATATACTCTTTTGTTTGTTACCTGTACGACTGCCTGTGCCTGTGATTTTAAAAGTATAGTCTTTGATAATAGAATCTTAATAACGTTCAAACTTATAATTTAAATTTATTATGGTCATATATCGACCACAAGTCGACATTATTATGTTTAAATCAACTATCGTTTTTTGACGGCTAGTTCCGCCAATAACTTACTCTACACCAACATGCATACATTAAATTGTATTACTTCATAAACAGGTGACATGAAAACATCGTTGCTACATTAAACATGCTCTGATAAAACATATCACCGCGTACATTTCAGCTGTCCATGAAAAGGAAACCTTTATTATTTGGACACCCGTCACTATTTTCTTAATTTTTTTTCTGAACTACGGCATTATTTATATTGTACGATTCATATGTCGCCCACATTATCTTCGGTGCGCACGAGTCGGCGCAACGTGTGCGACAGCTGCTGTATTCAGCGATCCAATAGCAGGGCGCCGATTGCAAGCAACGCCTCTAGGATTTTATCAGACGATCTGATTGTACCTATTGTTGCGTTAAAGGTGTTTTTCGTGTTCCATGATTCGTTATAGCTACAGTAAGTTTTAGTAAGATGTGGAACAATTATTTTTTAAATATTCAAATTTAATTTATGTATATCATTTCCAATGCAGGATGAATTAAGTTCAAATAATTGTCGTATAATAACTTTAACCGTTGGTTGTACAAATCTCTTGTGAATATTATTTGTATGATCCATAAGATAAGCATTCATTCTGCGTCTATTTAAAAATGGCAATTTTATCGCCATTAATCGCTCTATATACTATACATCTATCATATTAGATACAACAGTTTACTTAACACATTATATATAAAATATGAAGTTATATAATTATAAAAGAAAAATATAAACAAAAATAAAGTAATTCTACATCTAAATCTTACCTTGCCAATTTATAAAATGAAAACCAGAAAAGTCGACCCACCTACAGGTAAAGCAAAGCAGTAAATTTTAATTTCACCAATAACGCCTAACACAATGAAAATACCGATAAGGTTATACAAAGGTGTAGCTATATATATATATATATATATTATATAAATTTATTAGCTTGGAAAAAACATCTGTAACGCCGTTTTCGTAATTTATTTACAAAAGTAAAATTTGTATTTGTTTCTAGTATGATATTACCAAACTACAACAGCTTTTGTTCGTGACGGTTACTGAATAAAGATCCAACCATATTGAATCTTTATATATATATAGGTATATTCTTAGATTTCAAAACTTTAGTTTGAAAGATAGATTTAGGTAATTAACCAGTAGTAGATAACATGATGTTTCTATTAGTTTATGTTGTAAAATGTATAAGAATAGAGATCTCTTCTAATATTTCTATATATATATATTTGTGAAAAGCACTGACATAATTTTTAAAAGGTTTATAACACTATAATAATCCTTGAATAAATCTTAGATCTTAAGGCTATGGAGAGATATGAGAGATGAGATAGAATAAGATGTTTTGTATAGAGAGGGGTATCCCCAACCCCTCTCCATACAAAACATTTTATTATGAAAAATGTCTACAACAACTAATTAAACACGACGAATTATTGCCCATAGGATAAGGCAACTAATATTATCGTTTCATACTAATCAGATTT